GATCCGTAAGATCCCAACGCCGAGACACCGCTACCAAAACTGCGAACCTGTCTATACAGCAGCCGAACCCGAGCCCCGAACCAAACTCCGAAACGATCCACCGCCAACTGAGAGAATGACGACACCGACCCCACACCTTCACAACCCAAACCCATATAACACCACTAAACAGGCTCGGGTGTTCTGAATCCCACCCGTTCCCAGCACCAAAGTAACTATGGTATTGGGAAATCCCACCAGAAAAGACGAAGAGCCCAAGGGAAGGCTCCAGAAACAGAAACAGAAACAGAAACAAAAACAGAGAGAGGGCATAATCACCAACAATTGAAAGCTTACCGACGACCGGGAGGAAGACACCGACATGGACCAATCCCCGACCACGGGTAAACCATCTCCATCCTCAGACCCGCGCTGCTCTTGGAGAAGGAACTCCATTCTCGGATGAACCGCAACAACATCAGAGGGTACGAATTCAGGGAAGGGCCAAGTGGTCGAGGGCGACCACCGGCCGGAGGCACGCTGTCAATGGGGAAGGCGAATCGATGGAGAGAGAGGAGTGGTGTCACCGGATATTTGGGGACTTTTGTTTTTAGGGGCGAGAGCGATGACATGACAATGTCTAAGTTCCTCTTCCAATCAAATGGTTTGAGATTAGCAAGTTGTTTTCCTTTAGAATTGACAGTTAATGGATTGAACGACATGATGAATATAGCCTGAAAAACATGAAAATAATTTTACAAATTAAACATTTTGAATTTAACTGTTAATTTGATATCCTCAAAACAATATTAACTTAAATCCACTGACATCTCTACAAACCGTGAGTAAGCATGCTATGTGGGTCGCCTACATACTCAACATTCGCAAGAGAAGGGTTTTTCAAGAACCCATTAATTTCTATAAGTGAAAATCAAATTCATGACGAATGAAATTAAGAGTCGGTCTCCCTTTGGACATGCAAAAACATTCAGGGACCCCGTGGGGGGTTTGTAAATTAAATTGCATTCTAAGTGAATCCCATTTCTTGATAGTGAGGTCGTCGAAATCGATTATACGTCCACCGTGGAGAGGCCCGCACGCTCTCTCTAACTGTCTAAATTTAAAAATTTGTTCTGGTAATTTCCTACAATAAATTTTAATGATATCATCCGTGGAGAAGCCCATACTTCAATTAATTGATTTACCAACAAATTACAAATGGAGGCCTTAGGAATTTTGAAATTAACTTTAATTTAAAATTCCTTCTCAAACTCGGTATAATTTAAAAGGAGATTTTTAAATATTGAAATATTTATGAAATTCTAAATTAATCTCATGTAAATGCAATAATTAATTAACATGCATAAATAAATATGCAATTCTAAATTAATTTCATGCAAAAGCAATAATTAATTAATATGGTAAATAAATAAATAATTAATGCACATAGTAAATATAAATAAATAAATTCACTATTATGTCCATTAAATATTGAGTCTCCTTAAACAAGAAAACCTTGTATATTCTTTCCTTGTCCAACTGGAACTCCCACCGCAGTATAATCATGATTGATATTGTACTGCTTGTCCAACAAGTAAAAACCACTCCACCTGCCACCGCCTGCCCATGTCGCTGCCGCCGCTGGCCGCCAGTCGCCGCAGCCGGTGGTTGGAAAATCATGTCGGCATCGATTTGTTTTTTTCGCACGTTCGCCGCGTGCTGCTGCCAGCTCCGCCCGCACCGCCGTTCGCCGTCGGTTATGCCGCCCGGTTGCCGGTGGTCCCTCGGGCCAGAGTTCGGTTGCGTTTTTTGAGGTTCGTTGATCTCTTGTGATCTCTCGGTCATCAATACACGATCACAACACGAAAAATATAATTTACAAAACTACAAATCCGATCCTATATCAAACAAATGGATGTACATGTTTTCTAAACAGATAATTAAATCTATCCGGTCAACCCCTGGGCTAATAATTATTACATACATTCATCTATTAATTCCTCGACATGTCCGAGACTTTAACAACAAATTTAAAACCATACATCACATTCAACAACATTCATCAAACACATAATCGGCCATAATAGTGGATTAAGCTAATTCCTGCAAAACCGAGTTCTGCAAATATAATTCAATATATATGGTTGTGTTTGAACACATAATATCAAATAAAGCCGTAAAATGTGATCTTTATACAAGACGAATTAACCAAGTGCTCTGATACCACTTGTTGGGATCTATGAGGATCTCGTTATGTACAAGTTATGAATTCAATAGAAAACGTAAACATATGCGCAGCGGATCTAAAGGTTTGACGTAAGAAACTTATGGCTTAAAATTTATCTGAATCTGACGGATTCTGGTTGACCGAGAACAACACCCAACGGATGATAGGATCAGGTCAGTTGTGTGGAGCGTGAATCGTCGTTCGGGTCGCGGTGATCGGGTGGTTGCGCGTGTCGCGGCGTGGGGCTGCCGTTTGCGGTTGGCTCGTCACAAAGGCACTTCGGCTGGTCGGGGTCGGCGATCTCGGCCTTCGGGTCGTGGTTTGTCGACTCCAATTGGTATCTGGGGTTGATGAATATATGTCTCAGTTACCTCTGGACCATCTATTGTATAACTCATACACCTCTCCAACTTGTATCGGTAGAGCAACAAGAAGAAGATAAAGCTCAAACAGAAAACTAAGAGGGAAGAGAGAGAGAGAGAGAGAGAGAGAGAGATAGACGACGGGCGTGTTTGTTTTATTTCACGTAAGAGAATTCTGATCTCTTCATATCTTTTTCATGAGCCTAATGATATATATATATATATATATATATAGAGCTACACTAGGGACCCTTAGAAGATTAGAAATAGAGCTTCTTAAGTAATGGACTAACTGTGGGTCTGACCCACTATTCCCCGAATTACCTCCACATGTTTAAGATATAATGTCCATTAATTAATTCAATTACTGATAATCAAGAATTAATTAATATATTATTATTTTACCTAAGCTAGCACTCGTTCATCACATTATTACTATGCCGGAATTTAATCCACCAGCAGAGTTTAGCATATTAATCCTTCATGATCTCACTTCGGGGACGTCATTAAACTAAATGTACATGGTGATCGTAAATATCCTAACAACACATCATACATACAGTAATATTACCCAAGACAATGGGAATATTAATTCAACAAACTGAACCTCACCCAAGTGAATCAAAATAATATATACTGCATATATATGTTTGCTTAATATCTTATTGGGTTAAGAGAACGCAATAATTAACTTAGGCCTAGTTCGTCTACGACATTCAGTATAAAACGAACTTCTCCTCTCTAGAATCCTATTCAATACATAAATGTACTAGTGCAACTAATCAGTCGAGACGAGTTGTACCATGGACACTACAACTGTTCGGATGGGATGTTCATTTCCATCTAGGTTGTGAACCACAATTTTCATTTCGCAAGTAACTAATAGAATGATCTTTGATTCGCCCGATGTCGACCCATTCTATCTAAGTGCAAAACAAGAGAACATAGAACTTGTTTAATCTAGCGGTGATTCTCATTCATAAAGGGTAAAAGTGTAATATCATTCAAAGCCAAGCTTTTAGTATATAACAATAACAGAGCGTCCACCCAAGCCCCAGCCATCTTAGGTGCCGCCGACCATCGTTTCCAGAAGTCTAACATGACCATCTCAATTGTCGTCCCGCTCACCGTCATCCTATGTGGCCACCGGGCCTGCACTGCCTAAGCTCGTCGCCGAAATTATATATTCCATGAAGCATCCGCAATTTTGTGGCATAGAAAGAAGACTATGGGGTTAGGGCTTGAGTTGCGACATGACGGCAAGGTTGTGGTTGTGGCGATGACTGAAGGACCGAAGAGACTGTTACAGACGAAATCGGCGTTGCTAGTGGCAGGTTGGGGGCTAAGAATTTTTATTTGGATTGAGGACTGTCATATGAAAATTTGACAAGTGCAGGGGATCTATGTGCAATTTTGTAACTTTTAATATATTATAATTTATTACTTCAGACATAAATGTAATTTATTAAAAGTTTAATACATGCACAATAATAATAAATAAAATGCACAATGATGTGCAACCTGGCGTATATTAATGTGCAATGTGTCAAAGATTATTGTGCACGGTTTCAGTCGCTATTGTACAGTCTGAACCGACCAAAATTTGACCCAAACAAATGTAAAATAGAATCGAATTAATTAATTTATTTGATCTGTTAATCAATTAACCAAAACAACTTAAATTAAACATTATTTATATTATAAAATCTTATTTAGTAGTCTTTTTCTTTTTTCGAAACGATAGAGGTTTTATAAAACGCACAGAGTGCGAAAAGAAAAGCGCCAAAGACTGAAAGATATAACCAGCGGCTAAATAGACTGGGAGGCAGACCCGAAGATCGCCTAGAGTCAGACCTAGCAACGCTATAAAACACAGACACGACATTACAAAACAAAAACTACCACGAACTAAAAGATCTCAAAAGGATAATGCCCGAGTGAGAAATGATGCCAACAGGATAATAAAGACCTCACTCGGGTGAAAACAGAGGCAAAAAGCCCAAACCAAAAACACATACCTACAAAACAAATAAAAACTAAACAAAACATAACAGACAAACAGAACACAATACTAAACAAAACTTAACAAAACATCACAAGCCCTTCCCAAGCAGCAAGAACAAGCGGAGCCAACGGAACCAAGTCGACTCAAAGAGAATCCCACAACAAAAGGAGGATCAACTCCTAAACTGCGCCCAACACTAACTCGGTGGCCTAGCAAAGTCAAAATCCAAGCCTTCACCCAAGTCAAACTCGAACCACAACCACAACACCTAACTGCCCAAGAACCGCCACTGGACTAAAACCCTCTAACACGAGTAGTGAGTTCGACAGTACTCGATGTATCCCCATGAACTCAGAATGAGAGCAAGGGAGGGAGCAAGAAGATGTCGAGGCAGCAGCCTTCTCAACCCCCGAAACACCCAGAACTGCTACGATCCTCCACCCACCACCACGCCATCCCGTCCAACACCACTGCCCTGAAGACTGAGCACCGGTCCTACTGACCCAACGCTAGAGTACAGGGGGGAAGACCGAGAACCGCGACGAAGCCCCAGCCGTCCGACACCAACACCGTCGAACGACTGAGGCACCACCCACCCGGTCGAAACACACCCCGACCGCCACCTCCATAACCCAGGTGCTTGTAGTATTTTTGGGCATGTGGTAACCAAGTTACCCGACTTGGGTCGTTCTCAAAGGATGGCTCTTCGGAGCTTCGTTCACTATCTAGTCGTCAAAGTCACACAACCGAAAAGGTCCTAAACATTCTACTCGCAATTTGAGGGTTTGAATTTAAACTGGATTAATCTACGAAATGAGAGCAATTGAAAGCAATTAACAAATCACGCAAGAAGATGAGAGAAATCAAGGGGGAAAGAAAGATTTTGGTATGCCGGAGTCTCCATGATCAATCATACGCAAATAACCGAACATTGCCATGCTAGCTAAAATCCTAGGAAGCTAAACCCAACTCTAGCACAAGACGAGCAAGCATTCAACTCCTAATCACACTTAGTCAAGCATTCATGATCTAAAGATTCAATTTTTTTCTCCAAGCAATTCAAGCACAATATCAATTTTCGCAAAAGCAAACAAAGATATACGAAGTAATGAGGCTTAAGACTAAGTACCACTCTTACACGCACTTGGAAGGAAAAACGGAGTCAAAAGCTTGAAACTTTACTCGAAACAATGTCGCCGGAAAACTTGATTCATATGCTCCAAACCAAAATATAAAAAAGGAAAAAAGAAAATAGAGAGAATTTTCCCAACTTAAAAGTTGGGAAATGAGGGTTATGTCCAAAAATACAAAGCAAAATATCTATTTATAGCTACACCACAAACACACACTAAAAACACACACATTTAATAAAATTCTAAAGTTTGCGGGTCTCGGAGTTCGCAGCGAGTTTGGGCATGGAGTAGTGCAGAAACTGCTGTTCGCGGGTCGCCAAATGATGTTCGCTAGCGAGTTCAAACCTTGGGTGCCTAGGGAGCGCGTTTGGCGGGCTGCGAGTGATGGTTCGCTGGCGAGTGTGTTGGTATGGACTGCTGTGGGGCGCGTTTCGCTAGCCTCGAGAAGTGGTTCGCTGGCGAGTGCTGCCATGGGAGCTGGAATGCTTGTGTTTCGCGGGCCGCCAAGTCCTTTCCGCAGCGAGTGTGTATGCATGGCGGTGTAGGGCGCGGCCTTTTGCAGGTCGCGGAATTACGCTCGCAGCGAGTACTGGGGTTTGTGCACGCGCCTCCTTCGCTGATCGGCAATCCCTTTTCGCCGCGAGTGCTGCTGGCCGTGGCATGTGATTTCGCGGAGCGCGAAAGGAGTTTCGGTTGCGAGTGGCGCGGATGTTGCTGGGCTGTCTTTTGCGCGCTCGCGGAATGACTTTCGCGGCATTTGACTTTGCCTCTCGGGTAATGATTCGGATGGCTCGAATGGTTCGGTCCATGGCTAAAAAATGGCACGAACGACTCGTCTCCCCGACAATTGCAAATTGGACCTACACAACACCAAATGAGACGCGAAAATACGAAAAAAAAAATACAAAAACACATAATGAAAATAAAAACACACAAAACACGATAAAATGGACCGGATGACACAAAACCGAACCTAAAATGACTCGACTAACACATAAAACACAAGAAAAATAGGCACAAAAACATAACAAACACCAGGAAGCCTACGACAGGCGCTCGCGAGATGCGTCGGTAAACATCCTTTGAAATCGGAAGCAAACCTGAGCCGGTCGTGGGAGGCTCGATTAACTTGGCGAGGGCCAAGCAGCCGACGGCCGACCGCTGGGACCGACTCTATCGCCGCTGAGGAAGGCTGACCGATGCAGATCTAGAGGTTGTCAAGAGAGAAGGGGAAGCGAATTAGGAATGTGAGAGAGGACCGAAATATTCTTATTTAGTACTCTAATATTTGTATATAACATTTTTTTGTCGAAAAAATAATATTATTATATAAAAAGATAAAAATATAATATTTTTTATTTAGTTTGGTTTGTCCGACTACTTTGGTTATTTTAAACTTATGCTGCGATTGAACCGAAATAGCTAAAATCGAAAGGTAAAATAAATAGTCGAACTAACATGCAAAATTCGAACCCAAAAAGATAGTTCGGTCGCTATAGTGCATTCTGTCAGTCACTAATGTGCAATCCTTATAACATTAATTTGCACTCGAAGTGCAATTATTTTTTTATAAACATATATTGTATTATAATTTTTTTAATGCTTTATATTATTTTTGGTTGAACATAAATAATATACATATAGATAAAATATAAGAATATTATTTATTGTATAGTTCTGTTGGTTCTGTTGTTAGTTTTTTTTTTATATTCTGTAAATAAAGCCAAAATCGGACCAAAATAACCAAAATTTTAATATTTGTGAAAATACACATTGTTATGTTAATGTGTATTCTTGAACGCATTAACGTGCATTTGGTCTAATATATGGTGCACTCTTACAGTTACTAATGTACATCATGTTGCATAATATTGTGTATTCTATGCAGTGCGGGTTTTTTTATGTGCAAATCCGAATTAAAACCGAATCAAAATAATTGGATTATTTGGTTGATTAATCGAAATAACATAAATAATTTAAATGATTTATAATTCATATTATAAAAATATATTCAATATAATTTAATATTAAAAACACATAATATTAAAATACATCAAAAATAATATTTTATCTAATATTTATTCAGTATTTTTATTTGATATTAAAAATACAAAATATTATATAAAAAATTATAATTTATTTAATATTTTATGTTTCTTTTTTGTTGAAATTACATAATATATATACATATATATATATATGCATAAAAAAAGCATATAAAAATAATATTTTTTATATATTTTTCATAATTTACATATTTTCCCATGGAAATTGAGATATAATAAAAATTCTAAAAATTGCAATTAAGCCCTTTGAGATTATCAAACTCTCACTAAAAAAACCCAAATCCCCAATTTTTTTTTTTTTCGGCGGCAGTTGTACGCAGAGGTGTTGGCTTAGACGATTGTGGCGGTGGGTAGTGCCAGTGGCGGCGGCGGTCAGTGGCGGAGTTCCACGGCAGCGAGCATCTTGATGGTTCAGTTTGGACGAGACCGGCTGTAGTTGGGCCGACGAGACCGGTGGCCGTGGGCGCAACGAGATCAGGGGTCGTGATTGTTTTGGATGAGACTAGTGGCGTGAGGAGGCAATGTCAAGCGACGGCAACGGGTGGCTAAGAGCGGCGCGAGGGGGACCGGCCGTGCGCGGCGCCGGGAATTGGGTCGGAGTTGCCTGCCGAAGTTGTGCATGTCGTGTGTGCATCGAGTGTAATGTGTATGTGTGTGTGTGTGTGTATGTGTGTGTGTGTGTGCGCCAAGCGTAATGATCTTTGTGTGTGTGTGTGTGTGTGTACAAAGTGTGTGCGCGTGTGGTTGAGAAAGAGAGAGAGAGAGAGAGAGAGAGAGAGAGAGAGAGAAAGAGAGAGAAGTGGTAGGAGGGCCCCACGTGTTAGTGGTTGTGTGGTGGCGTGAGTCCCACTATTTTAGTGTGAAAAATTACCACAACACGCTCGATGAATATATAAATTTTGCCTTTTTTTAGTTATTAGATCATTCGATGTAAAGATTACAATTTATTATTATTTTGTTCACTCAGCATCTCTCTCTCTCTCTCTCTCTCTCTCTCTCTCTCTCTCTCTCTCTCTCTCTCTCTCTCTCTGTATGTATGTATATATATTTCTCTCTTATTCATTTACACAACTCGAACTTATATTTACTAGTGACCCAACCAAAGTTAAAATATTTATTTTATTTTATTTATTTATTTATTAAGTATTATCTGCAATTGATTTCCATTATTTTTTAGTTGTGATAAGTCAATTAAAAGTTTATAATTAAAGTCGTAATGATTAAAAAAAAAATATATACTATCATACAATTAAAAAATTGAACCTAATTAAAAATTGAAATTACAAAAACTAGATTATAATGAAATTAATTAAAAAAAGTTACTAACAGTTCAATTGAAGTCACACATCAGTTACCATTACCAAATTAAAGTTCCATGACAATAACTTAGAATGCAAGAATTGCAAAACTTACATGACAATAACTAAAATGACATAATTAAAGCTACATAAAAATAAAATTACAACTAATTTTCAAATATGATTTCTATTAAATGACGTTTAATCTCTTCATCTTCTGACGATAAGTGATCCTTTGCCAACAATGTATTCAACGTCATAATATTCATTTTCTTTGTCCTTCTTTCTTCTTTTTTACGTTCCAACTCGATCCTATCATTTGCTATTTTGGTCATTAAATCAAATTCTTTGTTTCTTATAAGTCGCAGTACACGAATTTCAGCATTAAAATCATGAAGAATGGAAGAAGATTGTGATGCTACTTTTTTTCCTTTATTTTTAACTATATCTCTACCTTCGGGATGGGGAATTGTCAAACGATCAGTAAATGAAATTTCTGGAGTTGAGGAAACTGAATAATCTTTATCTTCAGTAGTCCTCGATCTTTTTGAACGGTCGTGGCTTTCTTCACTACTCACTTCATCTTCAGGACGTGAACGAGTTGAATCATGATATAAGTTTAATTCCCATCGGGGATGTTTTCGCATAACTTCTTCAAATTCGTGCAAGTCCGTAAACTTGGTGTTGCTGCCACCGGCTTCGTAAACTATATGAACTTCTTTCTCAACATCTTTCATGCTCATTGTACTCCTTTTACTTCTATATGCTTCCATGTAGGCACCTCTCCACCTGTTTACATTTTCATTAAGACGTTTAGAATGACATTTCATCGTATTCAAGTTTCTTTCACCAATTTCTTCTTAATTTTCTAATCGAGTTTGTTCAAACATTTCTGCTATGCATACCCATAACGAAGAACCTTTATGTTCTTGCCACACCTTTTGTCTTCCCTAACAAAATACAAAACTAACATTAGAGCAATATTTTCTGCTACAACCCAACTAACATTTCTTGTTCCCCTTAGAGGATTTGCGTGTTTGTTGCATATTTTGAAATAAATTTCGGACAAATGTTTCGTAAGTTTTGAGCATCTTTAAAATTAGGAAATCGAGTAAAACTATGATAAAATGACTCGTGTGAATAATTTTCGAAATTTGAAAATTTTCAGAGTTTGACAAATTTTGAGAATTGAGATAATATTCAAATTTTAGATCCATATAATATTTGTTGGAAAATATAAAAAAGGTAAGAGATGATAAAATTAATAAGAGATGACTAGGATAATAGATAAGTTGCAATTGTATTCTAAAATATCTCAAATGTGGTTTATATTTATAGAGAATGAAAATTTACAATTTATCATAATACTTACTTTTTAATACTCCCTCCTATTCATTATAAATGTCGTTTTGACTTTTTTGATTCATCCATTTTGTTATGTATCTAGACATATTAATGTCTAGATACATAATAAAATGGATGAATCACAAAAGTCAAAACGACATTTATAATGAACAGGAAGTAGTATAAATTATGACCAGTTATTATCCTTTAAAAAATATTAATAAATATCTTATCCAAAAATTCAAGCCAACCAACACGAATGGGACAAGTGTTCCATTCTCAATCCACACTCAAGGTCACGACGACTTGGGTCGTCCACTTTTTTTTTTTTTTTTTTTTTTTGTGGCATTTAGTAGGTGACCCAAGTTCAGGGTCATCGATAAAGGTGGTTAGACTCGGTTAACACTCAAAAAATATATATTTTTTTAATGAATTTCATAAATTATACAATAGCACGGCTTATTTGTTCAAGCTCGTTGACCGAGTCGAATATCAAAAGTTTCAATCGGCTCCCAGTGAGCAAAATTGCATTGGGACTAGAGTTGTAAACGTGCCGAGCTCGAGCTTAGGGTGCTCAAACTCGAGCTCGACTCGTTAAGTAAACGAGCCTAAAATTGAGCTCGAGCTCGAGCCTTAACGAGCCGATCTCGAGCTTTAATAAGCCTTATCAAGCCGAGCCGAGCTCGTTAGCCAAATGAGCTTTAAATGAGCTCGAACTCTGCTCTTTAAGACCTCGAACTCGAGCCCAATTCGAGCCGAGTTGAGCCAGACTCGTTTAATTTAAAAGCAGTAATTGGGACCACAAAATCTAGCCAAGCCAATGAATTCTGTGTAGTTCGATTAAAACTCTTAAAACTCTTTTTTAAGAGTGAAATGTCATGCTCTAAACAAACAAAAAAAAAAAAACGTAATAGAAGTATGCCATTTCATATAGGTGGCCATTATTGTTTAAAAAGTATAACGAGTCAATCCGCCTAAAGATTAGATCAACTCACGCAACTTTTTGTTTTTTAGAGGGCAAACAACATAAGCCAACAAAACGCCAGGTTCAAAATTTAGAGCTCAATCCACGACACAACAAAATATAACCAAAATTATTCAAACTAACTGATTGGTTTTAGATATATAATGTAATCTGTGGCTGACAAAAACAAGTAAAACAGTTTCAGTAAAGCTTTTCTCCTCAAAACTGACTCACAAATGTGTTTAATAGGCACTACGTTGATAGCGCACACAAATGCCGCGAAAAAAAAAAAAAA